GGAGTTCAGACGTGTGCTCTTCCGATCTAAATCAAAGAAATTCTTAATTAGTATAAGTTTGGCTAAAGTTGGTACTAGAACATAAATAAAATATTAAAAATTTAAAAATTGACATTATTTTGAAAATTAATTTTAGATTTTTTTCAACTTCAAAGGTTGTAAAAATTTAAAAAAAAACATTTTGACTTGATCGAGGTAGGGGCTATAGCCACAAATATGCTGAAGATGTGGGCACAAGCCCAAATTGATTGGTTAATTGGTTTTCGAGATATCATGGGTACCAATTTGAAAAACGTGGTTTTGAGAAAAATGGGTTTAAAGTTTTTTGTACATGATTACATAGATTGAGACCACTCTCTATCAAGTGCTATGGCCGGTATTCATAAGTCGGTTTTTATTTCAAAGCCGTCTTAAGTAATGTCTTAAGATGCTAATACGGCTCTGTTATTGGCTTGTAACATCTTAAGACTATACTTAAGACGATCTCAAATATAAAAATTGATAACGAGTACAGGCCTATAACTTTGTTAATTTTGTGAATCGGGCTAAATCCTTTTGCAGATATATTTTTCATATCAAATACTTGCAAAATATGTAAAAACAAAAAAATCGATTTTTCCGATCCGCTAGACTAGAATACCTCCTTAAACGATTTATATTATTTTTCGCTAGAAGCAAAAATTGTATTTTCTCCAATAAAACATTTTTATATTACTAAAATGATTTTAATTCACTAAAATTTTTGTATTTATTTCTTTTTTTACATATAAATATTTCATAATTAACAGTTTATTTCGTTATTAGTACATTTATTTTGATGTGATTTCTTTCGAGCTTATAAATGAATGACAAGATATTTAAAGTAATAAATATATATATTTATATATATATATATATGTATATATATATATATATATACACACAGGGTGTCCCATTTTAATCGATTACCTCAAATATCTCACGCACTATAGGTTGATGATCGGATTTTGCATTCCGTGTGTATATGTGTATGTTTTACACATATCCGCACGCACACAATGTGCAAAGTCCGATTGCCAACCTCCTTATAGTGCACATCAGATAATGTCAAACATACATGAGAAAAATACAAGGGTTATTTCAAAATGCTGTAATTTTGTGAAAAAAAAATCGCAGCGACTTGATTTTTTTCTTTTTTTTTTTTTCAAATTAAAGAGAAAGATTCCAACTTTATGACGCTGGAAACCGCATCCCGGGAAAAATTTTAGCAAGTCCGTGCACTCGTTCAAACTTTGCAATTTTCAGTGTGGCAAACATGCTCTCAAATTTAACAGTTTACAGCAAGAGAGGTGCATTAAATTTAAAATCAACTCACTGTATCTTAAAGTAGAGATTTCAAGCTTTCATTTAAAAAAAAGTTCATCATTTTACGATAATTTTTCGCGGAGTTACCGTTAACCAAAGTTTATTAATTTTTGCTCAAAATTTTTCTATGCCATAATTTTTTTGAGCAGTGTATTTAAAAGAATTAAGGTGTTTTTATTTTTAAACTTCTTATACATGCTAGTTTATCAGTTTTTGCAATATGTTTTTTCAAATAAGATCCGGAACTTAATGCATATTTCTCATATACTTCCTGCAAATATTGTTGGCTTCTATTTTTTTGAGTCACAGCAGTTGCTACTTGCAAATCGGCAGATTCTGTTTAGCTATAACAAATATTTTTGGGATTTTTTTGTTATGAGAGCATTTAAACTCTCATTGGTTTGACTTAAAGCTCCCATTGAAAAGTTATGAGCATTGGCAGATAATTTTTCAAATGTACCTTTTAATTCTTCAAAAAGAATGTAGTTTTCAAAACCACCAATTATAGTAGTACGATTATAATCAGGATTCGTAGTATAGCCACATTAATGTTCACAATTATTATGAATATTGAAAACATGATATGGTATATTTTTTATGGCTACTGACATTTTCTCTACGTTTCCTTTATTCTGTGATATAGCATATGCTGTGAAACATCTTTGTAAATATTTAATATTATCTGAAGTTAATTATTTTATCTGGATCTTTTGATATATCTATTTTATACAATAAATTTGTAACACCTTTAGCAGTATGATTTTTATCTGATTGCTTTAATATTGGATGGTCAATAACTTTCCTTATGGCAGAAATACTAGAACTGTCATTATCTCCTATAAATACACCAACTGCTATATTTTTAAATTTTAATAAAGTGCAGTTCTGTCCGAAGGAAAACAGAAAAGTCAAGATAATATCAATTTGACGTCAAATTGATTGAATTTACTTCATTTTTTACATTTTGATTAAAATCTAGATTTTAAATGACTAAAAGAATGACTTTATATTGACATTTTTTATAGTCTTCTTATAGGATCTTTTTGATTTTTAGAAAAATGTGAACGTTTCTCGATTGTATTTATTTTAATTCCTTTATTTCAAATGCCATTTTGCATATACAAAAATAAGTCTTACTTGTTAGTAAAAATTGTAACTTCATATTTGTTTATATTTTATATGTAAACTTTATATTTATGAACAAAATAGATCTTAATTAACACATATTCCATCTTTTTGATCTATTAAAAAGATATATACCATTAATTGGTATTAGACGGGGAGCTGGCTACACGGATTTCAAAATTACTCGGTACAAGGTCAATTTCTACCTAAAAAGGTTCAATTACTATCGCCATTAACGAAAACGCACTTCTGCCGTGTCGCTTCCGGGGACGTATAGGTATGAGCGGGGTGGACAAACATGTAAATTTTTACAGCTTATTAAAAGTATTAGTACAAGGCTGAAACTTTGTAGAATTAGTGTCTAATGTTCCGAATAACATATCACAATGGCAGAAATCTAAATGGGGGACAAAGCACTGGACGAAAGGGTTAGTTAAAATTGCGCAAAATTAATGAAAATTTAAAATACTTGGTACAAGTCTGAAATTTTATGTACATATTGTTCAAATCTTTAAAAAGCAAAATGGCAGAAGTCTAATTGGAAGATAAGATCTTGGCGGAAGCCCGTGAAAAGCGAGGTTTACGCATTACTTTCAGCAGACAGTTGGCGCTAGCGATTAATTTTTTTTATCTTCTTTAATTTATCACGAAAGCTCGTATTCAATTAAAACATTAATTACTAAAGGCAGCATTGTAATAAATTATTTATCAAATTAATTTAGTTTATTCATAGTAAAATGAAAG